TATAAAAAGAATTGATTTCTTTTTATAGAGAGATTAGAATTGATTTTTTTTTAACAGTGTTTCACTTATAACTTATTGATCTGGAAGGAGGAAAATCCTGGGCTGGTTTCCACAAATTTATCATAAACTCACAAATTAACCAAACAGCTTTACTTTGTGGCTCTGTGTTTACTGACAGACTACAAACTTTATGAGGTCTGAATCACTAAAGGGTTCTGTGAGTATAGGAAGCCCCTCTGGAAAACCAAACCATAAAGCGTAAAAGCGCTGACAAAAGCTGAATAAAGCAGTGATATGTACTGTCAAAGCCTGACAAGAGAAGTGATTGTATGAATACTGGCAGCATGGCAAGAAGAAAGAAGGACAGCTGACCTCTCTTGATCTTTCTTTCTTTCCATGCCATTCTCTGTCGTCTTGCCCCTGTGCACCATCTGATCTATGTTTAAACAGGATAGAGTTCTTCGGGGCCAACAGGGATAAAGCTCTCTCTCGTCTCTGCATGTTGAATGTGTCAGTGGAGAGAGTTATAAGTGCTGGTCCCCCACCCCCACCTACTTCTTGGCAAGTGGCAGTCAGTCAGCTGATTTGTGCTGGTGAGGGGATTTGGTGTTCCACGTAGGCTATTTAAAAATGCACCAACACCTTTCTCTTCCGCTCTCTCTCTTTTCCACTCTGTCGCCTTCTCTTACGACCACATAACACACCCCTCGCCCATTCCCCTATATTGCTTGCTTTTTTTTCCTGCTCCCTCCCATTACTGCTTTTATTCCCTCCACTGTCTCTTTGAGTCTACTATTTCAGGACATTGTCATGTTCAAATTGTGGACAAAATTTGAGTACTTCACTCTAAATAACAATGTTAGTAACTTGTTGGTGTTTTGTAAAGCTGTATGACATGGTGACTTGTGTTAACACTTTCTGATAGGCCATATCTATGCTTGCTTTATGAGTTTTACTAGGAAACTAAATCTTCCTGGTAAAGGTCAAAGGTGAGTCTATTCATCCCATGTTTATCCACAGATCAGCCATGTCATGTAACTCCTAGACCTGATTTAGATTTAACAACATAACTGGCTAACACCATTGTTGGCCTGTGCATTATGTGCTTGTGCATTAAAAGAACTTTAAAATTAAGATAAACAATTTTAATGCAGGAAAAGCACAGGAGGAATCGACAGTACTGAAGAAGCCTATCGCAATAGCTGTGAGCCTCAATGTATAATTACTTTTCTATGGAGCTGCACATTAGGTTAGGCCATAGGTTAATGCGTTTCAGAGGGGTTTGCAGTTCCAACGTAGGTACAATGTAAATATTTCTTGCTGACACATAAATCTCCAGTTAAAGCTGAAACTGTGAAAATGGAGAGTAATGGGCCCATTATACCTCGGTGCAAGCTGTGTATTGGTTTTTATTGCCATTTTAATGACATATCAATACAGAAGCTCAGAGATTCCCAAGTTACACAGAGAAGTTTTGACTTTGACTGTTACTTCTGTTTGCATGCAGCACAACCAGTGCGGCGATTATAGAGGCCTAAGGTATTAACCTGGCACTGGCACCATGGTCAGGCTGGAGTTACAAGTGTCCAAGCAGATTGTGCATCCATTTCCATGATAATAGATGAATGGTATAGTTCTTACATAGGGCTGTTGTACTTGAGCACTCAAAGTACTTTATGCATTCATTCATTTATCCATTCACAACCACTCTTTTTCTAATCCTAAAGTCTTTACACACCAGATATGTAACTTTCATGCAAATAATTTATGTCTTAATTATATTTTTTTGGATTCACCTATTCTTAATGCAGCCATTTTTACCAACATCAAAGTTCTTCAGGATTAATTTGTAGCATTTATTTATTTTTTTTAATTAAGACAGATTTTTTTTATTTCTCACATGCAAATAAATAGATCTGACCAATCAGTCTTCTGCATTTGGCAAATAGTGCCACATACCTTTAGACAAGCACTGGTACTGATGCACAGCTAGACGCTTTTGGGTGAGTCAGCTTTTTCCTCTGCCTCCTTAGATGTTGTTCCAACTACGACGGAGTATTAGGGCCACGCCCAGAAGAAATACATATAATACATATAATGTATATAAAAATATATTATACATGTAGTCGACTGGGTGTACCCCAGATGAGCTGGAACAGGTAACCAGGGTGAGGGAAGTCTGGACTTCCCTGCTCAGGCTGCTGCTGCCGTGTCCCGAAACCGGTTGTAAAATAAAATTGGGTTGCTGGAGGATGGATGGATATACAGTCTTGTCTTTCCCTTTGTCACAATGTCTATTTTTATCTCAGAAATATCTGCATTCCTCCTTTAATTGCCTCCCTTTGTTGGCGTCTGTGCTTGTTTGGGGTTTTTAACCATTTACCTCTAACATGAGTATAAATGGCTTTAGGGCTATTTTGACATCCCAGTTCACATGACTAATGGGGCGACCACAAGATACCGCCACTAGGACAATAAATTTCCGTGGAAATCGTTACAGTTGTGTCGTGATCTTATCTGTTACAAGTCAGACTCATACTGTAAATCTGTTATCTAAGTGTCACATCATGAGTCATATTTACAGTAATCTTATCTGTAATCATGACAACATGCCCAAACCAGCAGAGCCGCAAAGCAGTTTTTGATCTGACATCTTCCTGTCCAACAATTTTACGTTATTTTTTGCATCATGTCCATCTTACATCACTGTTAGAAGGATAAGTATTTGCATAACTACAAGATGTTGCATGTCAGGGATGTGCAGCTGAAGGCGTTGCAAGTGTGTAAACATAGAATTGCTGCAACATAAAAGGGCTATATTATCATTTTATCAGACTACAGCATGTCCTGCATTAAATTTGCATTTTTATTTATTAATTATGTGGATAATGGGGATGTTGAAAGAAAATTTTACTTTTGCTAGACAAATTTGACACCTTCAGCAATGTCGCCCAGCATAAGTTCATAGAGATTAATGTGAAGCACATACCAAAATAACGCTTATGAGGTATGCTTGCAATATCTTTCCTTTTCCACAATGTGAAAGTTATGTAATTTACACAGCACAATATACATGTATGCACACTGCTCATCTTACAGACACAGAGATACAGATATATCACACACCCTGTAACACATAATCTTCTCAGTAAGTGTAACCATGCAAAACTGAAGGCTTTACATTCTGCAGAGGTCTCCAGTGCCATGACTCCCCCGTCAGCAGCGCCTGAATTTACTAAGTTACATTTACAACGGCAACAAAAACATGGCCTTGGGACTTTGTGACAATATATAACACACACAGCAGTGGGCCTCAGTATGTGTTTCCCTCCTTTGAATACATGTTTAAACGTGTGTGTGTGTGTGTGTGTGTGTGTGTGTGTGTGTGTGTGTGTGTGTGTGT